GTCTTCTTTTTGTGCAGGGGTACATTACCTCTAAGTCATGTTGTAAATACTCTCAAAATACACTCAAGTTGTCGAACAATGTCGTATGCACCGAAGCCTCTTTGCCATCTTCTCCGTCCTTGATGTTGTTGACTCTCCAACCATAGAGTGTTCCTTTCTCTTCTCCACCGATAGAGATATTTGCAGCACCATCACCAACGCCCAAGCAGACGCAGCAGTAAACTAGCTTCCCACAACCTCCTGCAACGTCTTAGGGGTCTAAAGAGGTTTCGACGTCTCTTTCTCTCTTTTCAGAGATGTAACGAAGAAGAAACCATCACCCTGCACGTTTGCACAAATGGAGAAGAAGAACCCATTGTGCCTAGCAATGGTTCCGAAACTCGCGCGACGACTCAAATGTTGGTTTCGAACAAGGCAAATTAATAAAACCCTTTTCGGAAAAATGAACGAGGATGAAATTGTGTCGAATGAATTATTTGTTTACATATTGTGTACAATTTTTGCTCAACACCTCTGAAATCCAAATTGACTAAACCCTCCTAAATATTTGGAGGAGGTGAAAGCCTAAGCAGCAACAGCAAGCAACGACAATTTAAGTTGCGTCATAAAGCCTGATGCTTTGCTTCCACACTTTATCATACGATATTTGCACGATGCAAATGTTGGGAGGCAGCTGAGCTTCAGTGGAATGCATTGCTGCACAAGCACAAGGAGGGTGGCAAGTTCAAAAACTGCTTTGCTTTATGTAATATGGACATAATTATGGGCGGGGCAAGGGAATTGATGGCCAATTTGGGACTTTTTGTAAGCGAACTAAATGAACAGCCGGCCTAAAAAGGAAAACTGATCAGTTCTGCTTCTTTTCCTGTTGCTGCCGGAGACAACCACGCTCAGTTGCTTCGTCCTCCTCATCTGTATCAGTACCCTGCGACGATGGCCTAAGGTCCAAATTGTCTTTTTAATGGGAATGGACGGCTGCATGGTAATTCATCTACAAAAGGTGTTTGATTTGATTTTCCAAGTGCTCTCAATGAGAATTTGAAGCCATATCAGATGATCCAGAAACTCTTTATCTTCAACAACAACATGGGCCTCGATTTTTATGATGGCTCGGCCTGGGAGACTCGCTACGAGGCCATAAGGACCAAGTTTAAGGACAAAGGGTACAGGGATGATGAGGTGCCTCACATTCTGTTTTGGGATATTTGGTACTGGGAATTGTCCTCAGTTGCTTTGCCTTGTCCAGGGGTGACGCTACTGCGTGGCTGGTTTAATAATTTGGTGAAGTCCTTCTTGGAGAATGGTGGGGATATTGGCTCGCACCATGTCATGGACGCACCCTTCTCGGACAAAAAGCTTCAAGGTCTTCGCTGTTGTGGACTAATTTGCTCACTTGCTCATCATGGACTTCGTGGCATTGTCATTGGGTTGATGTTCTATGATCCGTTGGCATTCATCATCTCTTATTTGAAATAATTTCTTGATCTCTCTCTTAGTTGTTTCTTTGCTTGCTAGCTACCAGCATCTTCTGCTCCGAATTTGAAAACTATTTGGTATATTTTGTTAAGTATTATCGATTCATTTACTGAAATCACGCTTATTTAGTTCTTAATTTTACTTATAATATTTACTTAGGGATGTTATTTCTTTCTTTGTTACAAGTTTGAACCAAATTAATTAAGGAAGCCATTACCATTTGTTTTGTATAACTTCCTTTCGATCTTCAAACGGAATGAGGATTAGATGTAAGTGCAAAAGGGTGTAAATCACTTGAGAATTTGGAAGCACCACAACTTTGCTGGTTAAATACATTACGAGATGTTTTCCCACGCTTTCCGCATTCAGTTCTAGCTAGAAGTAATAAAAGAGAAAGGGATAAAAATGAACTACTGGACAGAAAAAGGAAAGACATTATTCCCTGAAAGTGCTCTTGCTACGGTTAAGCGATCTTCGGATAATTCCTTGATGCTATATATTGCTCAGCTGCAATGGGATTTAGAAAACGATTTTGTTGTGTTTGTGCTCAACTCCGGAGTTGGTTCATCGTGTTTTTTCTTTCTGGTACTTACTGTTATGTCAGCACGATTAGCTACGAGTTGGTTAGTTAAATACCTACTGATTATTTTGTACGTGCATCTAATAACTGCATCAAGCTTCCTTACTTTTTGTCTTGAGTCATCACCAACTTACTGTTTTGTGCATCCCAAACCGCCCAATTCAAAGAGACTTGCCAAGGAGGGCATCTGCATCTCAAATTAAACAGTTCGAACAAAATCTCAACATCGACATGATGACGATATTGCTGTTACAATGTAATTGCTTTTACTGGTTCGGTTTATCTCATTTAAGTTATAATGGTACCGCAATTTTAATCTAATTGAAGTAATGCTCTCTCAATTAAAAATATGTCACCATTGGTTCCTTAACTCACCAAAACGTACAACTATGGTTTTTTTCGTTAGCTCCAATAGAACTTTCGTCAAAATGAGTAACATTGGAAGAACATTGCTAAAGTTCGGTTAAAATTGAGGAACCAATGCTCCAATTGGGTTAAAGTTAAGGAATCATTCATCCAATTGGGTTAAAGTTGAGAGATTATTGCTACAATTTTCTCATTTAAATTTTCACATTACCCTTTGATTCAGTCTTATGTGCTTGGCACCTAACTCATTTTGAGGTAATAATTCCCAACTCATGAACATTTAACCTTAAAAATTAAATTCCGATAAATAATGAAAAATAACACAACCAACCCATTATTGTCAATGATTTTCACCACAACTCCTTTTTATCTTTGTCATTTGACCAATTAGGTTCTCTAATATGATCTTTTGACATCATGAAAATTTGGAAATGAAAATAAATAGCTTGGTTGCGGGTAGGAGGAAAAAATGGGAGAATTGAATGAATAAAGTTAATTTTTGTGAATTTTAAACAAATACATGTCACTTAGTAATACGATCTAATAATATTTTTCTTCATTTGTAAGCGTTGATTCTCGTATAAGGCGAATTTGAACCACATTATTGCTAGCCCATTGTGAGGCCTAACCCACTCTCCAAGTCTTAGGTTTGATTCTCGTCTCAAACAATTTTGAACCACATTATTGCTAGTTCAGTGTGAGGTCTAACCAATTCCCCACCTCCTTAGTAGTGTACATAAGTATTGATAAGGTTTTGGGTGAATTTTAATTTAAATAATTTTTAGAATTTTTTTAGCCGTTTAAATTTTGGGATTTTTTTACAAGTAGATTTGCACATATCAATCACAACTGTTCGATTTAATACGATTATAAAAGTTTTTTTTTTTTTTTTTTTTTTTGAATATGGACCGTTGGATCATCCATATCATAATAGTTGAACAATCAAGAAGTACCAATTAGGATTTGAAAAGGTGTTTGACAAAGTTGTCAACAATAGGTCCCAACCACTATAGCTTTGTCGTGTGCTGGCTAGTTGGGTTGGTTAGTGTGTTGTGAGTTAGTGCGTTGAGGGTGGGCACAAGACATGAGCATTCAAGTGCATTAATGGACCACCCCTTTAGTCCTGGCTCACGTTGAGGGTGGGCACAAGACATGAGCATTCAAGTGCATTAATGGACCACCCCTTTAGTCCTGGCTCAAATTTTGGGCGGAATGTAGCTCAAACCAAATTTTCTCCCCACCCCTTATTTTAGCACAATTTTTAGAAATGCTTTGGAGGGTTTCACCGCTTAAAATTTAAGATTTAATTCAATCATTGTGAATGATCTTAGTATAAATAATATCAAATGTATTAGGAAAATTTCTATAACATTTTGGACTGCGAATAAAATTAGGGTGCTGATAAATCCAAAAAAAATATATGAAATTTTACTGTTTGTTGGGTCTATTTTCCCTTTCTTTTTTTTGAAAATCCTTCCCTCTTCACTTGAAAATCCATTTGAATGTGGTTCGTGATGTGACTCAGGGCATGTTAATGTACCCGTAATCGGAATCAATTTAGAGAATTGGATTCCGATTACAGGATACACCTTTGTTTACATAATCGTGGAAAATCAAAATACATGTGGGGTCTACACGCATTAAGAAATCCAACTCCTCATTTTGGAGAAATTAAACTCTCTGGATAAGGAAGGTAATTGAATTCCTGGATTGGCGGAGAATCCGAAATCGACTTCTTTTATCAATTATGCCCTCACTTGATTTTTATTATTCCAATATTGCCTTTCATCTCCTTCACCAGCCATCACAGTCCCGACCATTCTCCCTCTCCATCTCCCTTCTCTATTACCTTCTTCATCACTTCTACACAACCAATGCCATGCCTAGGGCACAAAACTTTTGCAACCCAAATTCGTCAAATCGCCTCACCCCCACTACCTGATATGACTGTCGAATCACTTCATCCAAAACTCACCAATTGATTCCACAACACCCAAACCTGAGAAAGAAATAGGCATGAGCAAATGAATTTCTTTGAATTTATGGGTTCCTTCTTCTGCGGGGTTGGAAGGTCTTGACAGCTTCGAAGGTTTCTGGGTTCTTTCTTCTGCAGGGTAGTAAGATGAATGTGACTAGGATTTTGGCTTTTAATTAGATTAGAATCTAATTTATACACAAAAAATCAATAATAGACATTTTAACTTTACTTTAATTAAATAAATAAAAATTTCTAATTAAAATGTTTTTAGACATAAATATAGAATAACAAAAAACCAAAAAACAAAAAAATAAGGGCAATTTAGTAATCATAGTGATTTATATTCCGATTTAGTTGAATTAGTAAACAACTTAGTTTCATTCCTATTCCGATTCCTGAATATTTAAAGTAAACATTTTCAACATGAACTTGATTCAGACTCATTTTATTTCAATTCCCCTCAACTCAATTTCTTCTTAATCAAATTCCTTTTATTTTAATTACGTAAACCTCCCATCGGTGAATGAAGAGTCCAAGCATAGTCGCTTTCAAATCTCGATTTCGACCTCGAACAGCTATCAATTTACGAGTCATGCCATCCTTGGTTCAAGTTTTAAAAGCGGGCGGATCACTCAGAATAAGATGAAACGAATCGGTTACTTGTTGGTCCTCCCGTATTTTCCGTCGATATATGAGTTTTCCATTCGAGTGGGACGCTCCGAAACTGTTCATGGTGGAATATATTCAGGTAATTTTCTCTGGATTATGATTATGTTTTCCACTGCTTGTTTCAACTGCAACTGCAACTGCAACTGTAACTCCATTTGTTTGTTGGGCTGTAAATTAGATTAGGTTCTATGAATTTCAGTATTGGATCCCGAAAATGTACTGGAAAATGTTACTAGATTATCGAATGTATGAATGTTAGGTTGTTTGGAGAGGCTGTATAGTATCTTATCCTACTTTCCATGTTTTCTGGGGTCAGTTTTTTTATGAAGAAAATGGGATTTTTAAGTTGATATGGTGTAGATATGGTTGACTTGGCGCAAAGTCGAGCATATCTAGGATTCATACAGCCGATCTCACTTGGTGGGATAAGGCTTTGTTGTAGTTGGTGGTTTTCACTTTTGTACTAGGGTTTAGAAGAGTGGAGGAAGAATTGTGATTGGTGAGAGAGATGTAGGAGAAATGTACAAGGAAAAGCACACAAATGAAAACTCAAAACCACAAAACCAAAAATTTATTATAAGTTACTTTTTATGTTCCGTCGGGCAGTCCAAACTGGTTAGACCTGGGTTTTATGCAAGAGCATAAAATCATTGCCAACCTTAAACTTTTAATAAAACTTTAAGGTGTTTCTAGTTGAAGCACTTATAACAAGACGGGTATGATTTAATATGTTTTATTTAGAAGGCAAATGGTGGATTGATGTGGTGGTGGATAGGGTCTCCCTCTCAAACCATTCCGCTCGCCAAAGTGTAGTTTAGGGTAGTTATATTGCTTGTACTTTGAAAATGATGTTTTATATAGAAGCAGTTCCAAATGACAGTTAGATTTTTAAACTCCACCGTATTTTTTTAAATATTCCAATGTGTTATATTTCGAATATATCCCATTATCGTTTTTTAGTTATTTTATTGGGATGGAAAACATGAAAGGTGAGATGAGGAAAACCATTAGACGGTAATACTAGTGGCGGCCATTTTTTGTATTATGTAAGTAGGTCCTCAAAAAAGTATTATATAAGCAGATTTACTCCTCCATAATAATAGATAGAAAAGAAATTCCCATAGAAAAAGAAAAAAGAACATGACTATCGAGCAAGCCTGGTGTGAGTGACACCTTGTTCACTTCCCTCTTTACTTGAAAATCCTTCCTTCTTTTTAACGTGGTTCATGGATGGACTACAAAGTACAAAACCATTTGCTTTGCATTTGTCATTACCTCTCTCTAATCTGTTGTCCAAACATTATTGCAGTGTACACATTTCCAAATCTCCATGTCGACCTCGAAACACAATCAATTTACAAATCATACCATCTTGGTTTCATTTTTCAACTATTAAGAGCGGCGGACACTTAGAAGTACAAAAAGAAAGGCATCACGTGTTTGTTGGTCCTCCCGTATTCCCGTTGATAAATATATGAATTTTCCATTTCAATCAGACGATTCGAAACTGTTCACACTTGAAGATACTCAGGTAAATTTGGTCTGATTTGTGATTATGTTTTCATTTGCTTGTTTTAACTGCAACTGCATTTGCTTACTGAGTTGTTAATTGGATTCGGTTCTTTGAATTTCCGTTTCTGTTTCTATACCGGAGAAAGTACTGGAAACCGTTACTAGATTATCCTATGTATGAATGTTAGGTTGTTTGGAGAGGTTCCATTATATCTTATTCTGCTTTCCATGTTTTCTGGGGTTAGTTATTATGACAGAAAATGGGGTTCTGAAGTTGATATTTCGTTGTGTGCTTAAATTGAAGGCGTATTTGATGACCATTTTGTTTCTAGTTTGTGGTTTTCATTTTTGTACTAGAGAAACCAAAAACGGTCTCTCACCGTCCTTCCTCCACTCTTCTCTAGCTCATCAAATGGGTCCTTATTATATACTAGTTTTTATATCGTCCTTTCTAAGATTATTTTTTGTCGGGTAAAAAGATTGGATTTTTAAGTAGTTATTTGGGATCTGAGAATAAAAAAAGCATACGAACCTTTTTCCGATTGCATTTTTATTTTTTGGATCAAATGGTCAAGCAGTCCAAACAGAATAGAATTTTCTGTTTTATGCAGAAGCATTAAATCACTGGCCAACCTGAGAAGCAGTAGTTTATATAGGAATTCGTTCTTGAATTCTTTCTTGTGGGATGTGATGAAGCTGTTTCATATCGACACCCTAACCCCCAAGCCTTTCATTTACAATGTGTACAATAAGCTAAAAGGTAGACATATAGGAAAGAATCTATGGGAAGCAACCATCACATGTAATCACCACCTGCTTTCATCAATAGATTGGGAACCACCACCAACTCCAAGTTGCGAATAAAAGATTTGCTTATAGATGAATCTTATTGGTACTCAAAATTCATGGAAAAGGTCCTTCTCGTCCTAATTACATTGCAAGATCCCCCAACTGTTTACATGGCTAGACCAACAAATGTGAAACCCTATTTATTTTTGAAGTATATGACGGGGCAAATACATTTTTCGTGCTTAAATTTGTAGAATTGAGAATTTTATTCAGGAATTTCTCTACCGAGTCTCCACATTCTTCTCATGTAACTTATTATTTTGGTTCTGAAGTTTTTTTATTTTCTATTTGTTTATGTTACTCGTAATCACCTATAAAGATTATTGGTTTTGGGTAAAGAGAGGTGCGCACAGGATTTCCCATTAGAATTAGAAAATCAGTTTTTTCTCAGTAATCCAAGTCCTAATCAGTTTAGGATTAGGAATTAAATTATCTTTTCTTATTCTATTAGGATTTTGGAATCCTATTCTGGTAAGGCATATAACCCACGACGTATGCACTATAAATAGGCTTGTTGGGAGTCCTTTTATTAACAAGAACATCATATAAAACAGCAAGGACACACAAGGATATGGAGCCAAGAGTGGTAGAGAGACCTAGAGCAAAGTTTCAGGGATTAGCAGAGGGATTTGAACAAGTTCTTCTAGTCAATTCTTTTTTCTCCATGGTCTAGTGATTCTCCCAAGAGATCACAGGAGGACGTAGGCAAAGTTAGCCGAACCTCACAATATTTTTGCATTCGTTAATTATTCAGCATATTCACATATCAACATCCCAACTGTTTGCATAACACCAGAGTCTATTGAAAAACAAGATCAGCTAGGGGGTTTAAAAACTACACTGATTAGACCCATCGTCTGTTCTTCCCTGAAAACTGCTTGCCATTCTTTTCATCTTTAATCTTGTTACTCCAAGAGTGTTCAGATTTGGTCCAACCAAACATAGTTAATCTGTCATCGAATCAGAATTCTTACTAAGCACCTTCAATCTGTCCAACTCATCTACCGCTCCAATAGTTGTGGATTCTTTTAGTCTTTGTTTGCATCACAGAGACCAAACTTTATATCTTGGGCATTACATCTGCACAGGTCATAATCCATCTACCGCTGATTAAGAGCTTACTTGGTTAATTGTACATAGTGTTTCTATTGGTCTGGTTTCACAGTTCCCTTGTCCTTAAACTGGCTCTTCACTTTTGCTGATAGGTAATTCTCACCTCTTTACTATCTTTTGCGGTCAGTTTTTCTATAACCACTACATTTCTTTAATTACATTGATTTTGATTCTTTAACTTTTAGTTGCTGCCAGATTGGTTCAATAGCATTCTATCTATCTGTCTTTTACAATTTCAGGGACCATGTTGTTTTGAGTATAAAGATAGAATCTATTAGATTCGTTCCATTTTTAAATCTATAAGGGAGAATTTAAGCAGAGTACTCTTTTATTTTGGTACTGAGACTTTTATATTTTGGGTTCCCACCTAAATTATCTCTACGTGTAACTAGCTATTTCTGGAGTAAAAAAAAAAAATCATGGGTGTTGTGTTTCAAACAATTTACACCTTATATACATACATACATACATATATATATATATATATATTAAACTACATGCATTTCTTGGTTGTTTCAACTGCAATTGCATTTGTTTGTTGGGCTGAAAATTAGATTCGGTTCTTTGAATTTCGGTTTCTATTTCGGTATTGGAACCCGAAAAACTGCTGGAAAGTGACCTAGATTATCGAATGTATGAATGTTTTGTTGTTTGGAGAGGCTCTATTGTATCTTATTTTGCTGTCCATGTTTTCTGGGGTTAGATTTTTTGTGAAGAAAATGGGATTCTTAAGTTGATATGGTGTAGTTATGGTTGACTTGGTGCAAAACCGAGCACATCTAGATTCATACAGCCAACCTCACGTGGCGGGATAAGGCTTCGTTGTTGTTGTTGTTTTTCACTTTTGTACTAGGGTTTAGAAGAGTGGAGGAAGAATTGTGATTGGTGAGAGAGATGTAGGAGAAATGTACAAGGAAAAGCACATAAAAGAAACTAAAAACCACAAAACCAAAAATTATTATAAGTTACTTTTTATGTTTGGTCGAGCAGTCCAAACTGGTTAGACCTGGGTTTTATGCAAGAGCATAAAATCATTGCCATAAAAACTTTTAATAAAACTTGAAGGTGTTTCTAGTTAAAGCACTTATAACAAAGATGGATATGATATAATATGTTTTATATAGAAGGCAAATGGTGGATTGATGTGGTGGTAGATAGGGTCTTCCTCTCAAACCATTTCGCTCGCCTTAGCGCAGTTTAGAGTAGTTATTTTTCTTGTACTATGAAAATGATGTTTTATATAGAAGCAGTTCCAAATGACAGTTAGATTTTTAAACTCCACCGTATTTATTTAATATTCCAATGAATTAATATTTCGAGTATATACCCCATTGTTGTTTTATTGGGATGGAAAACATGAAAGGTGAGATGAGGAAAACCATTAGATGGTAATACTAGTGGTGGCCATTTTTAGGAAAACCATTAGATTCGATTACGAGATAGAGGTTCCGGGCTGAAGGGGTAGAAGAAGACCTAGGAAGACTTTGGAAGAGACTCTAAGAAAAGACTTGGAGTACTTGGATCTACCAGAAGACGTGGCACAAAACCGTTCGCAATGGCATTCTAGGATTCATACAGCCAACCCCACTTAGTGGGAAAAGGCTTTGTTGTTGTTGTACTCTTTTATTTTGGTACTGAGACTCCTTTATATTTTGGTTCCCACCTAAACTATCTCTACGTATAACTAGCTATTTGTGGAGTAAAAAAAATCATTGGTGTTGTGTTTCAAGCAATTTACACCATTTATACATCACACTACATGCATTTCTTGAGTTGAATGCAATGTTGCATGCTCAAATAATCTTACTTATTTCTAAAATTTATTATATTCTAGTGTACTAGAACTTCATATTCTAAATTCTGGATACTTTATCTACATCACATGGTGTAATGCATTATACTGAGTGCATATTTTACACTAGCGAGGCAAGTTATATTTGAGTGATAATTGTGTGTACTTGAGATTTTGTAGATAATTACTTTCTTTATTGGACCATTGCGACCGATTCTGTTTTTCTTGATTACTGTGGTTTAGGTTTTTGAGCATTTCATTAGAGTGGTTTCGGAGTTGGAATGGGGATCGTAGAGACATTGCAATATTTGGAATCATCTAGAAGAATTGCTTCAGTTAATGATAGTCATTCTGAGGGAAGATTAGTAGGTATGCCCATGGCTAATGGGGAGTGCTCTATCCGTACCCAGTCACCTAAGTTAAAGAGGCGCAAAATCTCCGCTGTTCGTGATTTTCCCCCGGGGTGTGGACGATTTGGTCAGTTAAGCAATTTGGGACCTGATAAGGAGGCCGCTTCTGTGGGTACTTTATTGACTGCACTGACAGAAAGTTTGGTTAGTGGGGGTAAAAATGGTGATGGACGTGGTGCTGAAAATCTGATGCCCTCAACTGGTCAGGTAGATGATACTGTTTTGATTAGTGGTAACGTTGTTAGTACTGGGGAGACAGTTGAATCTTTAACAGCCTTAGAGCATGAAATATATGATTCGTTGAAGATCCAACATCAGCTTGGTGCTGCTGCTCCAGAGGAGGAGATAGTTGCTGTTCTGCCTGATAGAAATATTTGTTCACCACCTGACAGATCCATCTCTATTTCTAAAGGCAATCTTCTGGAGAAGACTGCAGTTAAAAAATATCCTCCTCGAAGAAAAATATCAGCTGTTCGTGACTTACCTCCTCTGTGTGGAAGAAATGCTTCCCTGGAAGCGAGGAAATTTGGTCAAGAAAAATCGCTTATGGATGGTGAACCATCATCATTGAACACAGTGAAGACTAATGTGAAGCAAACATGTGAGGATATCCATGATGAAGAGTTTCACAAGAGTGAATATGTAGAGAATGTATTAGAAATAAGTGGATCCGAGGTTCAACCAAATTGCAATGGGCATGTTGTACAAGAAATGGAGAGAGAAGATGAATATAAAGTAAATTCGAAGATGAACGTGGTTTTGGAAGGTACAAGAAAAACATGCATTGAACCTTCTCAAAAAAGTAACGGATGTCTATGCACGAAGGACGTTGAGCATTCAGAGGAGAAAGTGGAGGACGAGACGGAGGTATACCAAGCGGAGAAAAGTACGAGTGAAAAATGTCTGGAAGTATCTTATTATAATAACCAATTGCACGAAGAAGATTTTGTATGTTCGGAACCTACATCGAATAGTGAGATTGTGTTGGGTTTGATGGCTGCGTCAAATTGTCCATGGAGGAAGGGAAAAGGTGTTTTTAAGCGTAAATCAGAAGGCGGTATGAGTGAAAGAAAACCTTCTCAACAAAGCAATGGATGCCAAGGCATGGGGGATATTGGAATTTCAGAGGAGACAGTGGGGACGGAGATGGTGGTATACCAAGCGAATAAAAGTCCGGGTAAAAAATGTATAGATGTATCTTATTGTCATAAGCAATTGCACAAAGAAGTTCTTGGAATTTCAGAACGTACTATGGATAGGGTGGTTGTGCTGGGTTTGATGGCTGCGTCAAACTGTCCATGGAGGAAGGGAAAAGAGGTCTCCATGCGTAAACCAGAAGATGGTGCAAGTGAAAGTAAACCTTCTCAAGAAAGCAATGGATGCCAAGGCACAGGGGGTGTTGGACATTCAGAGGAGAAAGTGGGGAAGGAGATGGTGGTATACCAAGTGAAGAAAAGTCCAGGTGAAAAATGTATAGATGTATCTTATTATCATAACCAATTGTACAAAGAAGTTCTTGGAATTTCAGAATGTACTATGGATAGGGTGGTTGTGCTGGGTTTGATGGCTGCGTCAAGCTGCCCATGGAGGAAGGGAAAAGAGGTCTCCATGCGTAAACTAGAAGATGGTGCAAGTGAAAGTAAACCTTCTCAAGAAAGCAATGGATGCCAAGGCATGGGGGCTGTTGGACATTCAGTGGAGAAAGTGGGGAAGGAGATGGTGGTATACCAAGCGAAGGAGACCCTGGGTGAAACATGTTTGGAAATATCTTATTATAATAATCAATTGCACAAAGAAGATTTCGAAAGTTCGGAACTTACTTCAGATACAGTGGTTGTGCTGGGTTTGATGGCTGCATCTAATTGTCCGTGGAGGAAGGGAAAAAGGGTCTCCAAGCACAAAGCAAAAGGTGGTACAAGTGAAAGTGAACAAAACACACTTGATTTGAAATGCCAACTAGAAGGACCCAATACTGTGTTGACAAAAGTTGACTCAGACATTGGAAGAAAGTCTGTAAAGAAGATTTTTCGTAAAGCACGAAAGAGTGCTTATCAAGGTACAAGTCTGTTCTGGGATGAGGAGTATTCTCTCGAGCATGACCCAGAGGATCTTCATGTGACTCCAAGATCATGTTATTCAGATGTATCCCCTCATCTGTTTAGTCCTAGTAGTACAACTAGTAAAAATCATGAGAACAACGCAATTGTCAACCGACACATGGTGAAGGAGACATTGCGTCTGTTCCAGGCTCTTTGTAGGAAGCTCTTGCGGGAGGAAGAAGGTAAGTCAAAGGAAGGAGGAATTTCTCGCCAAAAAATTGATTATTCAGCTTTAAAGATCCTCAAGGATAAAGGAAAATATGTAAATATGGGCAAACACATTGGAGCTGTCCCGGGAATTGAAGTTGGTGATGAGTTTCATAACCGAGTGGAACTTACTATTGTTGGCCTTCATCGGCTGCCTCAGGGTGGTATAGATTATGTGAATCATTGTGGCAAGATCCTTGCAACTAGTATCATTGCATCTGGTGGCTATGCTGATGATTTGAATGATTCAAATTCCTTGATTTATACAGGCCAAGGAGGAAATGTGATGAAGACTTATAAGGAACCGAAGATCAGAAGCTTGAACGGGGAAATCTTGCTTTGGAGAATAGTCTGCATGAAAAGAATCCTGTTAGAGTGATTCGTGGTTCTGAATCCTCAGATGGAAAGAGTAAGACATATGTATATGATGGACTATATTTGGTAAAGAAACGTTGGCAGGAATTGGGGTCTCATGGTAAGCTTGTTTTCAAGTTTCAACTGGACAAAATTCGAGACCAAGAGCTTGCTCGGAAAGAAGTGAAGAAGTCCAAAATAATTCAAGTTCAGGAAGGTCTCTGCATTGACGATATTTCGCTAGGGAAAGAGTCAATTCCTATTTCTGCTGTGAATACCATAGATGATGAGAAACCTCCAGCATTTGTATACATAACTAGCATGCTATATCCTGATTGGTGCCGTCCAATTCCTCTCAAGGGTTGCAGCTGTATTGTTGAATGCTCAGATTCTGAGAAATGTTCTTGTGCAGTTCAGAACGGAGGTGAGATCCCGTATAACTTTGACTGGTGCTATTGTTGAAGTAAAGCCCCTTGTGTATGAGTGTGGTCCTTCTTGCAAGTGCCCTCCGTCTTGTTATAATAGAGTTAGTCAGCATGGTATCAAATTTCAGCTTCAAATTTTTAAAACAGAATCAAGGGGTTGGGGATTGAGATCACTAAATTACATTCCTTCGGGAAGTTTTATATGTGAGTATATGGGAGAGCTTCTTGAAGAGGAGAAAGCTGAAGAAAGAATTGGTTATGATGAGTATCTGTTTGATATTGGGAATAACTACAATGACAATAATCTTTGGGATGAACTTTCAACCCTCATGCCCAATGCGCTGTCAAGTTCTTTTGAAGTTGTGTACGATGGTAAATTCACCATTGATGCAGCAAAGTATGGAAATGTGGGAAGATTTATTAACCATAGTTGTTCCCCTAATCTTTATGCCCAAGATGTTCTTTACGATCACAATGACAATAGAATTCCTCATATTATGTTCTTTGCCGCTGAAGACATTCCCCCGATGAAAGAGTTGACTTACCATTACAATTATACGATAGATTCGGTTTATGATTCCAATGGCAATATAAAGAAGAAGAGTTGCTATTGTGGTTCGCCGGACTGTACTGGCAGGCTGTACTGAGGCAGACTTGAGAGGAGAATTTTGGGTTACTCGAAAAAGGTGATTTCTTGCTCACATGTTTTTACATTCTTCTTAGATTCCTACCTTCTCTTTTGTATACGTCTACTTGCACATGTATGCAAATGTAATTTCATGTCTATGTGTTTATGGTTACTCAAAAGAGGTGATTTCTTAATTCCATGTTTATTTTTATATTCTTCGTCGATTCCTGCCTTCCATTTTGTATGCAGCTACTCACACATGCATCTAAATGTAATTCTGTGTGTACGTGTTTCGTGTGTGCATTTGTGCGGCCTGTGGGTCTTGCCCTTCAAACTGAACATACAACTAAATTAATAGTTTGTTTTTCTTTCTTTTTTTTTTACCTAAAGAACTAGTCATTTGTATCATGTGATCATATATTATTATTGCACTTATTAATAATTCTGCATCATCTCTGAACATAGTACAATCATATGTGCCTTATCTAGTGGCAAGCCAAATACATTTCACCATCATCTTTGTAGCATGGCGCTACAAATGGTTGAATCTAGGATTCAGTTCCTACTGAACAACATAGTTGTATCATCAGTCCAAGGTTGCATATGTTGCATTCCTGTCGCTTGTACAATAAAACAAAACAAAATGGAGGATTCGTCTTCAAAATAATAGGGTCACTGTGACCTGCTTCTGTTATGCTTTGAAGAAGACGTAAATCAGTAGTATAGTAGTTCGAAACCAAGGACATTTGGTGCTGACAAGTGCAAAGAAAAAAAAGGATTGATTCTGTAAACCGCATGGGAAAGTTATATTTTTGTTAAATTGTTGTGTGACAATGCAGCTTTTGTTCTATTTGTTTCAGATGGTTATAATCTGGTATATGAGAGTTTGCTAATACTCAATGTGCATTTTTGTTTCATTTTTTACTAGTTAACGTCGTGCACTCTAATTTCTAACAGAGCATGTATGATTAACTTGCAGGTTAAAGTGTTGGTAAGTTGCTGGGTGAATATTGAAACATCTGCGGACGAGGAGCTTGCATTGACAACAGTATTTTTTCAAGGGCCAAGGGCTCATGGCATGGTGCAAGATTTACATTTCAAACAATTTTGATCCGAAAAACGAAAGGGCAAGAGAGAAGTCGGAAGGATGGGCATTCGGAGGCGGATTTGAATAGCTTGTGGTTCGCTTCATGGACCTAGTAATCACACGTACAGGTCTTGAGTCTTGAGTTCAATAAAGCTGGTTATTGTGCTTTGGATTGAAGCTGGTGACGCTGACGTTGGCTGTCAATAGATAGATGGTAGGACTCTCTCTTGTGAGTTCGCTGCCGCATACGGCGGCCTCACCCCCAAGAATTAGTCCTTCAGGAGACGTGTGTACTCTCAGTATCCCGAAAATCCAATTAATTAGTCCTTTGTTGCTGATGCTATCGCTAGTGTGGGATTATCGATTTCTGATAGCGTATTTAGGATAGAGCTATTCTTATCGTTGCTTCAAATGCTTTATTATTCGACTGTACTGGAAATGATTGTACTAAGCGTTTCGTAGCCAGGGAAGCATAAATGCAATGTTTGGATACTGGTGATTGGGTTCCATATTACGTTCCCATAATTCAGGTAGGAACACAAACTTGTGAAACCAAGAAACTAGTACTTTCGTTCTGATCTAGTATTTGAAATTGTAAACCAGCATAAACTGAATTGAAATCGGCGTAAACCAAATCGTATGAGTTTAATAATAAATTTAAATGGAATCGCACTGAATCAAACAATTAATATTTTTTCTATTCCGATTTGGATTTGAGGTGGAGACGGGCTGAATTACATCGTGCCCATCCCGAGATAAGAGTCAAAGGTTTTGGAGGAGAACATAACCATACAAGGAAAATAAATCGGGTCGGATGATCGGGATTCCAATCCATATCATAATTTAACAGATTGAATATAGGACAATCCGACCCATATTCGACCCGTTTACAGGCCCAGATTGAACAGATTCAGTCCGCAGATTGAGAATAAAAGATTTTCTTTCTTTCTTCTTCCATCTACATGAAAAATAAAATTAAATAAAAAAGAAATAGGAAAAAAGAGTTTTCTTCTTCTTCGTTTCTAGTGTGTCTGCGAGGGTGTTGGTGAAAAGCTAGGAGATGAAGCTGGGCTTTGAAGAATCGAAGGTGGTGTTTGGACTGCTGAGAGCAGAGCAGCGCCCGATCGAAGAGATCGTCTCTGAGTTCAACTCCATTTTCTCTCATGGCCGCCAATTCACTCCCTGCTTCTCTCTCTCCATTCTTTTACAGGTCTCTCTCTCTCTCTCTCTCTCTCTCTCTCTCTCTGTATCTTTGGTGCCTGCTTTAGGACAAACATTGAGACGTGCCCAATTTCATTTCTTTACAAAATTAGAGGAAAACCCTAAATCCCTTACCGTCAGGGCTGTGTTAGGGTTTATGTGCAATTGGACTTGGGTATCAATTATTGTTTTTTATTTTTAATAATTTGCATGTATGATTATGGATACCCAAGAGTGGAGACATTGATTGGATATCAACTGAATTTGTGTTTATGGTTTTATGTGTTAAAGATGTTGGCTTTTGTGTGGCATAATTTTTGTGATGTGGGATTCTAACAAGTTTGGTGCTATTCCCAGGACAAGAAGATGCTGAGCTCCACTCAGCGTTTGATTGCCTTCGCTATTCTTCAGCAGGCCTACTCATCACAGAAACCTTCTGCAAATCCGTTCGTTGATTTACTTATAAACGTAAGCATTGCGCTTTTTTCATTCAAGAATTGGTAATTCATTAGTCTTGGTTGCTTTGGTGTTCACAAAGGATGATTGGTATCTGATTGAGATCAGTTTCTTGGTCTATTTGCTATTTAGGTTGCAACATGTTGCAACCAAGATACGTAAAGTTGTAAGGAACCGCACTTTTTCTCCGGAAAGGTTCTTTTGAATCATTTACCATGATATCAACCTCATCGTAATCTTGAACTTTATCACAACTAAGATATGAAACATGTCCAGAATTTACCTTAATGTATGCTATCTGCCTCATCATTTAAGACTCAGTCAAATTTTAAATTAGGAACTAAGCTGATTGTTGTTTCCTTTTGTTTTTCCCCAATGTGTACAACAGTTTTTAATCTGTGTAATAGATCTAATGCTGATCTCTCACCTTTTTGATACTTGAATCACTTGAATTGTTGGGTTTATCGTATTCTTATAAATTAAATCACTCAACAAAAAAGAAATACTCTAATGATATATGTAAAAAAAAAGGACTCAACTCAACTTAGACACTGGCAAGAACTGAATAAAATGGTTTGAAGGCCATAATTTCTAGATTTTTAGGTTTGATCTGATCACCTACATGGCCATTTAGTTCAATTTGGGGCAGATGACGCCTACAAGCAGTTTCAGATTTCTATTGAAGAAATTACCAGATCACAGTAAACATAGAGAATGTAAGCATGGAAGTATGAAAACTTTGATGAGCTTGTGGTTTCAAATAATTTATCAATATTTTTCTTTATGGTTCTTCTACTTATGATTCTTTTACCAATTTGAAGCAATAGTTAAGCGACAGACCATTCTTTGAAATGACAGGAGGTTGAATCCATGCTTAACAGCTTATTTGGCACTTAAGTTGCTTTCTTGATACTATAGTACAATAACATCATAATCTGCTTTCTTATTAAAGAAACTTCATCATTTGTTAATGTGAGCTTTTTATAATTGGGTTGCAGGCTGCATGTGATGTCGAAGCCGAAAAGTATGAGAGGGCACTTGTTCTGCAGCTATTACAGCTGTTTGGCTCTGTTGGCTCTAGTGAGAGCAAAGAGGTTCTCCATTATTTTTTACCCTTTTGATTTGTTAAGCTGAATTACGTTGTTGATATAGTTCTACAAACTTTTGTTTTTATGTTTGTACCTGTTACACAGAACCGCAAACCAACGTGAATTTTTGAGTTTTCTTCTTTTCCCCTAGGAATGTTGCTAAATTACCATTACAAATTTACAAAGAATCTGACTAAGACTATGCCTGTTGGCCCAGGTCAAAGCATAAGGCCTTTTTGGTCCGAAGATATTGCAGATGGCATACAATGTTCAATAAAAAAAGATAAAGAAGTCAGGGTGGGAATCTATTGTGTATGTTTCAGTGTATTAAAAGCGTGAGCTGTGGGCGAGGCGTCCGAGGGATAGCCCGTCCTAGGTGTGAGGCGAAGCCTCACGGGACCTAAATTTTTTAATACAGATATAACAATGCACGCAGACAGCACACACATCCATTATATTAAAGGGAGTTTTAACGAAAAGCCCATGGTACTGTTCACTTTAACGAAAAACCACATTTTTACACTAAAAAGTCAATCCTGGTACTATTCACTTTACCCTTTATTTTGTCCTGATCATTAAAACTCAAAGTTTTCAAGCCCTTTTCATTAGTTTTCCTTATATTAAAAATAAAAATCAGAAAAAAAGTCAGAGAGACAATAATGCTAGGAAGAGGTATGAGGCAGTTAAAACCCTACCCGAAATTTGGGTTTGGGAGTTAAAAAAAAAAAAAAAAAAAAAAGCCTTGGGGCGCGCCTTCTGCCGCCTAGGCGGCTCTGGCGAAGCCTTACGCCCACTCCCTCAAAACAGAGGCGGCAACCCTCAAGCCCAGCCTCAGAGGGCGCTTAGGCGCGCCCTGAGGCCTTTTAAAACATTGGTATATATTAAGAGTCGATGCATTTGGATCTTAGAAAAACCTTTTAAGTTTTTTTAAGTCCTAATTTTACTGAGTCTTTTATTATTTTAAGGAAGCTTTCTAGTATATTTTGGAGTCACTGAGTTCTATTTGAAGCATATAAATAAGGCTATCTCTTGTAAAGCAAATCAAAATTTGGATGTCTGAAATTGAAGTTTTATCTTGCAGCTGTTGGCTCATCAAGTTTTGATAAAAAAACTCATCTTGTGTTGTTCCTATGTAGGTTATTGTTGTAAGATTATTTTCTCTCGTAGATTCTTCTCTCAAAATTACAAATTTTGTTAGATAGAGAACCTGAATTTCCTATATCCTACTAAGCATTCATACCAACTTTGCATTTTCTCAATAATTCCATCAGGAAAGAAAAACCCCATCAGGACACTTTGAGTTCTTGTTTATTATCTGCTCAAGTTTGTCATCCTTAGTTGCTTTTATATGCGGGATTGGTTGTTTTATTAGTTGTTGGCTTTGATATATTCGTAGGACATTTAAATGAAATGTAACTATTAGATTACCAAAGTGAACTGTAACCAGCGGCTTTGTTACTTTATTTTGTTACCGCCTCATCATCTTCTCTTGAATGCTTTTCTTGAAGATTATGTTTATCTGAAGGAGAATTGTCTGTTTCAGATTCTTAAAAAGTCTGCTGCAGAGTACATCAAAAGCTTTGATCCTTCAGTACATGTAAGTTATGTGACCTATGTATATTTTACTATTAAAAACACTCTCAAAGTTGGTAATCTTTCAAGTCTACACAGGATCCACACTGCATTCAAGGATTTTGTTTAACAGTGTTGAGAAACATTCTTAGTCTATGGCTATAATAGATATTTTTCAATTGTCCTCAATGTCAGGCATTTCCGCAACATGAACAGTTGCAGCAGCAGTATGCTGATAAAGTCCATCCAGAACGATTTATTTCTCCATTCAAGGATGCTTCTATCAGAAGTGTGGTTGCAGACCCTGATGTTCCTCGTGGTTGTGATGTTAACTCATTAGAGTATGACCCTGAACAATAGATAGTTTTTTTGTGTGTCTTCTTTGCCTTCTCCATATGACATTAAGCATCATGGTCTAGGTTTGATATACAAACTGGAGCAAAACCTAAAATTGGATCTGGAGATAGAGACGAGGCAGTGCTTGGCTTGCTATCCAATTTAACGCTGGAAGGGTTAGGTCCTCACTGGAACAGGCCTATTCCACCTAGGCTCCCAGTTCAGAATGACGAAGTAAGACATAAGGGTATATTTATTGATTATTTATAGGGCTTACTTGTTTACTTGATTTCACTTGTCAAACATGTTTCAGCTAGTGTGGCTTAACCCCGTGGACAATCATGAACTTTTATGGGATGATCGAATGTGTATTGATACTAGCAGAGGGGCAGCTGTCAGGGACTTGATTGCAAAAGCTTTAAAAGGACCACTTGCGCCTGCACAACAAGAGGTGCCGACATGTATATACTTTATACCCTTCATATATTTGATGTATCTTAAGCAATATGATATTAAAAATGCATTTATACTTCTGTGTATCAGTCCTATGTTGATTGAATGAATCTTTTCATATCATTTAGTCAAGTCATATGCTATGCGTCTAGCATTTGATTGATGTGGGTTCTAGGATTTAGTGTATGAACCATTGTCGGGTTGGTCTTTTCATGGTTCTGGTACATGCATGAATCAAATAGTATAATATAACGAGAATGGGGCTGTACTTTGCACTAGAAAGCAAAGAGAGAAAGAAGGAAGGGGGGGGGGGTGGGGAATAATACCGATGAACCATCTCTGCCCATTCCGAGCCCATCCTAGTTGGTTTGGAATGCTGAGGTACCTTATTTTCAATGGAAATA